TTGGCCACGGCCATGGCCTTGGAGAAATTCCTCTTGCCCTGCTCGTCGATGACGTCCTTGCCCGAGTAGTACCAGTAGAAGTCACTGATGGACTCCTGGGGACATTTGGGGACACCAGGAGCGGTCACTGCTGAGCCCAGGTGAGCCCAGGTGACCCCCCAGGACAGGTGAGGCTCACCTGCAGGCGCAGCAGGTAATCCACAGTGCAGATGATGATGTTGATGGTGGTCGTGTTCCCCGTCTGTGTCCTCAGGTAATTCTGGAAATCTGGAGGTGGAGGGGGACAGGGCCAGCCCCGGGGTCACCTCGGTGTCACCTGGCTCCCCTCAGGTGTCCCCCAGGTGTCCCCTCAGGTGTCCCCACCGTTGTTGTGGCCCTCGCAGAGCAGCTGCAGCAGCCGGAACAGGTCCTGGGTGAATTCATCGTCCGACATCACCTTCTCCCCTGGGGGGACACGGGGGGGACACGGGGACAGCGGCGTCACCTGGGGCAGGGGGGGCACGGGGGCACCCCAGGGTGGCACGGGGACACGTCCCAGTGGCACGGGGACACCAGAGAGTGGCACGGGGACACCACGGAGTGGCACGGGGACACCTCAGGGTGGCACGGGGACACCTCAGGGTGGCACGGGGACATGCCCCAGTGACGTGGGGACACCATAGAGAGGCACGGGGACATCCTGAGATGGCACAGGGACACCCCTGAGGTGGCACGACGACACCAGAGAGTGGCACAGGGACACCAGAGAGTGGCGTGGGGACATCCTGAGATGGCACAGGGACACCAGAGAATAGCACGGGGACACCAGAGTGGCACAGGGACACCCCTGAGGTGGCACGACGACACCAGAGAGTGGCACAGGGACATGTTGGGGTGGCACAGGGGACATTGGGGTGGCACAGGGACATGCTGGGGTGGCACAGGGACAAGCAGGGGGGACACTGGGGTGGCAGGGGGTTAGCGGGGAGGGGACACGAGCAGGGACACGGGGACAGGCCACCCTCCTCTG